GTTTTTTAATTTTTTTTTTTATTTTTGAACTTGACAGCCAAGCAGGTTTCAAGTGCACTGATGACTACTGCTGAGGCCTGACCAGGGACCTGCAAGTAAAAGCCTGTTCCCAGTGTTACATGAACAGTATTTGAATAACATGTTTGTCTGCCCAAAGCATGCTGACTTCTTAGTTTGCCAATGTCTTTTTTTTATGTCAACTCGTAACTGCTGTAGCAGTTTTCACTGGAAAAGGCAAGTGACTGCAAAACTGTACATTTTTGTTACCCTGACATAATTTCTCAAGCTGCATGACGGCCTTTTATGTACAAACTGAACCAGTAAATAAATTTCAGTTCAATGGGTGTTTACTTGGGAGTTAAATCCTTCTTGCGCCTCAGATAGGGAAATGACACATGGGAGTTGCTCAACTTCACAACTTCTGTCCCCTCCCTACGATGTGAACAGGCAGGGAGACTCTCCTGCATTGTCAGGGCAGGGCACAGAGGGGCAGGGCCACAATATTCCCCTGCTGTGCACAGGATATTCTGCTCGTGCTTTTCCCCCAACAAACGGGGAAAAAACTGACTGTTCTCCTTGTTAGTTCAGCTGACCCCAGAGTACTATCAGTAAAAGCAGCATTCCTAACAACTCCTCTGGGAAATAATTCGTACGGGGGGTTCACCTCACACAGAAACGATGTTTAGAGCATTCGGCGCAGACCTAAGGCCCCGGAGGCAGCACTGGGAGCAGTACCCAACAATTTGGCTACAGAAGAGGGACCAAGCTTTAGTTACCACCAGGAATGAGAACACATCCTTTGGAAACTGCCCTGCAGTTTGGCTGTAAAGCCTGACACTGAACCTAAGGAAAGAAAAGCAGTACATCCTTGACAGGTTTTTAACAAGCTGGACAAAGCAAGATGACTGGGCAGCAAATACAAGTATTGTGAAACACGTCTGAAAGAGCGGCAGGAGCCTACAGCTCCAAAAGACGATGAGCAGAATCAGCGTTGCTCACAGTGAATTACATTAAGGCCAAAAAAAGAATACTTAACAATGTGATGGCTTAAGGATGTCTGCCAAGTCACTGTTACCATCTCTGTTTATTTAACAACTGCAAATATTTTATGACTTACATCAGTTTCACAAAAAAGTTTAAGTTCTTTCTTTAGTGGTACACCAAAAAAAAATAGCTTGAGAAACTTGAAGTCTACCAAGAAGTGGAAGTGTAGTTCAGGAAAGTGCACTTAAAAGCTGAATGCCAGCAATTCTAAAATAGTATTTATGCTCTTCAGTATTAGGTGGCGCCTTAGTCGCAGACTGAGCTATACACCCAGCTTCCTTGATTTTCCTCACAGAATACACACTTCAGAAAAGCAACAGAGCAGCCACCCTTTGCACTTTCTTTTCTTTTGCATCATTCCCTCGTATTCGCTCCCTCAAATCACACACAAGTGGTGGCAGCTGCTGCGTTACCAAAGACACCGCAACTCCAAGAGATACGTGATGGGTGTCGGCATGTGTATATTTTATATATAGCTCTCGTATATAAAAATACACAATATTGTATAAAAAAACTGCAGATAAACTCTCATTCTCACAGTAGCAAATATATCAAGTTATTTTCACAGTACTTGGTTTTACTAACTGGGACACCCAGAACGATTACAAGTTACTTCCTCCCGCTTTTCGCAGGGCAGCCAAAACACACAACGCGCACGTCTCGAGGCCCCTTGCGACTCTGCACAGAGACACGACCACCTTATTTCTCTTTCTGCGACTACTAAAGGCTTCTTCGCACCTTCTGGCAGAACCTCCCTCTTGAGCGGCTGATTCTAAGAGGCCTGTGGTTCAGCCGTTCTGCGTGTTCAAGACCAGGCTGTACAAGCCAATCAATGTTTCTGGCTGGACGTGTCAGCTCCTTACTCTGCCACCGCTGGCTTCACAGACAGCACAGTCCATGCCTCGCACAGCACAGGCCTTCCCGTGTTTCGGGAAAAGATCACAACAGGTTCCGTGGGCGCGAGCACGCACACGCCCCAGATATAGGCAAAAGGGCTTGGCAGTCCCCGACAGTGCCGCATTTGGCCTCTGTTGAATACCGGCTCTCAGCTGGCATTAAACCCAAACCTGGCTTTAGCTGGGTGTAAATGACACATACCACGCAAAGTCCACTTAGTGAGGCATGCTCATCTCTTTGCAGTCACAAGACAGGATAAAATAATTTCAACTCGCGAAATGAAAAGGTTAACTTTCGCAAAAAGCTGTTTCCTAACAAGAACGCCAAGAACTAGGTTTGTTAAGGCTGTCAGAAACCGAGTATCACCCGCCAGCCCTAAGGTGTACCCAGCCAGAGGCATTATGCCAGTTTTAGAGCTACTTGAGCTTACGCTCGGCTTTTATCTCAACCCTCAAGCTCTGCGTACAACCTCGTTTCAGCCTTCCTGTGCCGTAACACAACCAGTTGCGGACCCTCTGCCAAACACCAAACCAACCCGTCATGCCAGAAGAACCTGTAGCACTCCTCAGCCTCAGGTCTCGCGTTAAGCAGACGAAACAAAACACACTTCCTTCGGTCCTTAATTTACCTGAACATTTAGGCCCATGCCAAGGCAGAGAATGCACAGCCTCCTTCCGAGCAGCAGCTGCGCGGCTTCAGCAAGGACCAGCTACATCCACAACCACCAGTCTAGTCGCCCGTTGGTTTTTCTCTCGTTTCATTTCCACCCACCTGCCCCATCTGTCTTACTACTCCATCCCAGCAGCTCCTCAGGCAGGTAAGTTACAGGACAGAAGCAAAGCACAGGAAGGCAGCTCATAAGCACACGCACAGGGGGAGGAAAAAAAAGCAAAGAAGCAAAACGCTAAACAAAAGACAAACAGTTAACCTGAGTATCGAAAATGCTACAAAACTCAGCGTGTGCTTCTTAGAGCCTTTGGCACAAAAAAAACCCAGGCGAGAAGAGCAGTCATAAAGCCTAGGAAACTCCTGGGCCAAGAGAGTTGAAACATTCCTACTCATAACCTTCTAAAAGCTTCATCTCTAAGCCCGAAGAAGGGGTACTTAACCAAGCACGACTGTGACATTTCACTTGCACCCTGTGAGAAAAACTAAATCGAGGAAGGTGAAGGTAATGAAGGTATAAAGCTCTGTACGAGCTACTTTCCAACTCCAGGACTGGGGGAAGCTCTCCAGCATCACTCCCAAAGGAGGCAGGTGACTTGCTTTTAATGTTGTTATCAACCAACATTGTAAGGGATCCACCTCCCAGACTCCAGGAGAACCACACAACCAGGGGGACACTGGGGGAAAATTAAAACACAATCGTAAATATTTAAGTCCTGCAGAAGGGGGAAGGGGGGGGACACGACAACACACACAACCCCAAGCGCTTTTTCATCCTCCATGTATAAACATCCAATTACCTACTCATCAGCACTCCAGAGAGCAGGATATAAAGCTGGAGAGAAGCAGGCCAACTACCTCCTTCGTCTGTAGGACCGCCACGGAGAGACGGCAGAGAAACGGGACCGGCCCGAGCCGTACCGGCTCTGCCAGCGGTGCCCACAGCTTGGCACGGGTTGCAAGGCAGGGGAGAAAACGACAACACAGCAAGGAAATGCCATCTCCAACCCGCCTGCTCTCATCATGTTGCCATCGCCACCTCGGAGGTGCCGTGCAGCAGGAGGACAGCCCTGCCCCTAAGGCTTCGCGGTGCAAAACGCGGTTTTGCCAGCACAGCAGCCGTTGGCTTCCACGGGCTGCCTGCCGCTTCCGCTCTGAAACACATCAGGGTTCGGAGAAGTTTCCGCAAAGCTCAGTGCATTTAGCAAGACTTTCTTAGGAAATACAGTGAAGCACGAGAACAGGTTCGTCAGGACTTAAAGGAACATTAGGTTCCAGTCATCCCATAAAATTTTTAGCTTTAAAAAGCAACAGCTTTGAAAGAATATGCACCTTGTTTGCAATAAAAATCCAAGATGAAAAGCAAAGCTATTTTTGGACACAAACCCCAATTCGTCATCAAATGTATCTGATGGCTGCACCTCACAGTCAACTGTACAAGCCACCTGAAATACTCCACACGTGCCACGTGATTTATTCACATAAACCAGCCTCTCATCCCAGCGTGCGGAGGAGTCTTCAAAGTGCTGCAAAGACTGGCTGCATCCCTGCTGGTTTACTCCCCTACATTCAGGCTTTTAGTCTCGCAATCCATTCTATTCTCTTTAGCTTGAACTCTAAGCTTCCAGCTGGCTATTTTACATTATAATGGCACTTACTGTAAAAAATAAAAATTATCCAAAAAATAAAAAATTTACCTTGTAGGCACACAAAAAAAATCATCTGCCTTTAATCCCTGCAGCTGCATAGATGTCTACTAGGTCCCAAGCCACAGCCACGTTCTGAAATCCTGGGCCACAGCCCCCTGAGGACTTGGCATATGTTTACGATGAATAAAGGTAGTTTCACCCCGGAAGCGAAGACCCGACTATGTGCAGCAGATCCATCTGGCTGTTAGTACATTTTGATTCCTAAGTCTACCGGACTGAGACACAGAGAACCTCCGCGGTTCCGCCTACCGGCCTGCACACGCGGAAAAGGTTTCTCCTGCAATCTCTGCCCACGCCCTCCCTCCGTAAGCACATCACAGAGGACTGAAAAGGCAACGCCAAAGTGCACAACGACATGTGTACCAGGGCCAAAGTCAGTGACAAGACAATGATTCATATCTGGTTTCTCTTGTCATTCTGGGAACCATCTGTCACAAGACGAGGCTCCTGGTTTGGTTTTTTTCTCTATTTCTCTCAAAAAAACGCCCCTACAGCCCCACAAACAATAAAAATTTGCCATCGTTCTAAGTTCCATTGTCCAAGCTGGCCACGCCACCTTGAACTTGAACGAACTGCACAACCCAGGTCCCTGGGAATTCAACCAGATAAATTATTCCACTATCAAAACCTCTACAACGCAGCTCAGCCAGGTGGAGCGGGGCGGGGAGAACCCATCGGAAGCCATCACTGTTTGGAAGGAAAGGGAGCTGCTCCAAAGGGATCTAACTCTAGCGCCTGCTGCTGCTGGCTTTGCACGCTCTGCACAACCAGTTCTGTGAAAGGTACCGCACCAAAATCGTCCGTTTTCAGCCCGTCCCCACCATGAAGCGCTCCGTGCAAGGAGCTCTGCCAAGGTCTTCCGGCCACCACCACCGCACCGTGATCCCCACGGCCGTCGCCAAACCCTTGATGCTGGGAATGCCGCATCAAGTCCGGTGGGTGGAAGGGTTTGGCTCCAAAAGGATCCAGCAGACCTTCGTCTGCCTGCAGTGGGTTGGGTCGGTCTTTGCTGTCGGCCAACGTGACACTGATGTTCTCTTTGGAGTCCGAGATGGTGAGGAACTCGTTGCTGCTCTGCGAGTCCCTGCGGCCTGCTTTCTTGTGCCGGCGGGCTCTCTCCGGCGTGCGGTAGCTGGGTTTCAAGGCTTTCTTCGTGGTGGTTGGGGTGCCGTGATGGCGCTTGCCGTTGTTCTTCGAGACCTCCTGTTTCATGCGCCTTTGGCGGGAAGACAGTTTCTGCAGGTTCCGCTGCTGCTTCACCTTCTGCTGCTGCTGACTCGCCGCAATCTCCTCGAAAGGAACCAGCCCAAACAGGTCCTCTTTACTCTCACCGCTCTTGGGCAGAAGGGACGGCTGAAACGGGGTGCAGCCAAAAATATCGAGGCTCCGTGGGGAGGGGGGGGAGAGCAGAGGCTCGGTTCCCACTAGCTGGCCATCTTGCCGAGATACCTTTTTGCTGAAGGGGGCTTTTGTGAAAACGTCAAAGTCATCCTGCTCTTGGTTCAGGCTGGGAAAAGCCACCTGAGGAGAAGTCCCCTTCTCCAACTTCTCCTTTGCCTGAGGCTGCAGAGTGAAAAAGGGCACCGCCCCAAACACATCAAATTCTTGGCCAGGGTTTGCCTCGAGGACGGTGCCTAGCACCTCTGACACGCACATATGTGTGGAGCTGCGTTCCTTGATTTCACCGCTGCCCACACCGTCTCTGCAGCTACCACTCAGGAGCCCTTCCGCAGTTTTTTGCTTGTTACGATCAGAATCGGAGTCAGAACTCTGCTTCTCTTCCTCCTCTTCTTCCACCTCTTCCTCAGAATCCATGAGGAGAGGTCGGTGGCCTAAGTTCTCCAGTTCCGTATCATTGTCATCATTGAAGTCTCCGTTCTCTCCCTGCAAGACTTCCTCATCCTCCTGTTCTTCTTCTTCCTCGCTGCTCTTGGGAGAAGGAGGATCAGACTCAAAATCACTCTCTGACTCATCCTCACCTTTTGTCTCTTGTCTCTCTGCAGCTTTCCTCCCAGGCCGCGGATCTCTAAAAGCATGGCTCAGTTTTCCAGCCTTGGTCGGGGTCCCTAAGTTACTTCTTTGATTGCTGGATGAGTTATCCGCTTGTTTTCCAGGGGAACCTGCAGGTTTGAAGAAAAATGCAAAACAAAACTTGAAACGAGCTCTTGAAGTCAGCACTTAGCCCACACACTCTCTAGCCACACATGTCAAAAGCTAACGTGAACGCATTTTCTCTACTTACTAAGGGAAATGAGCTAAAATCAGATTTAGTATTTCAAACACAACTCTAAATGGATTCAGTCAGATCTAGCTTTACTGCCCAAGCACAAGAGGTCTAAAAATACAATATCAGTATTTTTTGGATGAGGGGAGAGGAATCAATAAAGACAGGTGACCTCCAGAGCCAGCTTCTCCAACACATTCACACAGCTGCTCCTCTCCAGGGAAACAGGAGCCAGTGCACTTGAAAGAAAATGAGGGGCTTTTTTAAAGGAAACTATTTCTAAAAGTGCTTCTGTTCTGACAGTCTGCTCTGACAGATTTATTGCTCTAGTCATGAAAACAGTCAACATAGGCAAAATAACAGTATTTAGCAATTTCAGAGAGCTCCCTTCAGACCTCTGGTCCAACGGCACAGCAACCACACCCCTGAGCAGGCTCTCCTGGCCCACCAACCGGGCGGCCGTGCAGTTGCTGTGTGCCACAGAGCAAACGAACCACTTTACTCCAACCCCTTTGTGGAAATCTCCTAGATTCCAATGTGTGCAGAGGGTTGAAAAAGCTGGGGATGGACGCGTACCAGTTACTGCTCTGAAAAGAGTCTCCAGCCAGAACCCAGCTCCAGCCGCTCCTGTTCATGCTCTACACAAAGTAATGCCTCAGGTAGTTTCCTCTGTCATCAGGAAACAAGCATCCAACTCACAGGCCAACTCGGAGTTTTTTTTCTTTCCAGTTTAGATCAGAAGATGAAATTCAACAAATACAATTTCGTCCTTTTTTAAAGGGAACTAACAGCAGGTTGCTTCACCGGTGGCCATTTTGCTCTTCCACAATTTCACTTAGAATAGTAAAAAAAAAAAAAAAGAAGTGCAGCAATGTATTTTCTGTATGGATTTAAAAACAAGATGACCAGAATGACTAAAAACATCAGGTGATTAAGGCTTTGAGCTGTTTCTTCTTCGTTCCTGGTGTCAGATTGCTTCTTATCTACCGTAATTTTAAATTCTACATATTTGCTTTACCCACTAAATTAGAATCTGGATTATGTGGCTGCTTACTTTAGATTTCCCAAAGGTACAGCCTACCCACTGCACTATATAACCCCCATCTTCAAATCCTGCTGTTTCCAATATTTAGTGAAACACTGATGTAAACATAAGCACAATTAGATTTAAAAGGAGGAAAAGGAAGTATTTCTAGGTTATACTTGAACACCACTTGCACAAATGAAAACCCAAACCTTTTATGCATGTTGAATCCACATGAGCATAGGCTCCCAGGGAAGGATTATACCTTTGTTCCTGATCTCCAGACACAGAAAACAATTTATAAAATATTTCGGTCACCTGTGTTGGCACGACTCAGTTTTGCGGATCCAGGGCCGCACAAGAAAAGGAAGCCTAAGCCTGTGCATTTGGAAATGCCGCTTACATGCAGGAAAAAATGTTTTCTGAAACAGCTCCATTCTGAGGCCACTCATGCACAAGAAAAGGAAGTCTAAGCCTGTGCATTTGGAAATGCTGCTCACATGCAGGAAAAACACTTTCTGAAACAGCTCCATTCTGAGGCCACTCAAAAATTAAATAAACGTATTTATTTCACCAGCTGTAACATCATCACGGCACAAGCAATTAACTGCCTGTTAGCTCATCAGCTTCAAACCCCTCATTTCGCTACGATCGATTTCTGAACAGGTTTTCTGAATTTCTAGCTCCTGAGCCCTGCCGTTCCTCCTCACCCAACACCCCCTCGACAAGAGTTAGCAGTGATGTTTCTTCTGCGTTACAGCAGGAAATTTTTGGCCCTCTATTGTGTACAGATTCAACACTACTGAAAAAAACAATTAATTTCACGGTGATTAGCAACTGCCAAGCTGCAGGAACAGCTCAATATTACTCCACAATAATTAATTTCACAGTGATTAGCAACTCCCAAGCTGCAGGAACAGCTCAATATTACTCCAATCTCAGGGCCAGCACGGATAACCCTACGTGCACAACTTCACCAGGAAAGCACGGGGCACACGTCAGATGATGCCGTGGCCAACAACTGCTCCTGCTACGTAGCTGTGAAGAAAGCGCTTTTACTTCCTAACTATTACAAATTAGTGGCCTTACTGCTCCCATATTTGTGGTCTTGAGGCAAGAGCACCTATCTTGCTTTTTCCTTCAGTTTGCTTTAAGGTGTTACAAACAACCTGAGCCATCTTCTTGCAGCAGACACTGGATCCTGGTCTCAAATGCACTTTTCAGTCTAACCTAGCCCAAGTACACGGAGGAAACTGTCTCTCCTCACGCCTACTCATCTGCAGTGTCCTCGCTTTAGTCCCAGTAACACAAGAAGGCTGCACCAGACTGGTGGCCAAATCAAAGCCCAAAGAATAAAAAAGTGCTCTCCCTAGAGCTATCGGTTTTAAACCCACGACAGGAATATTTGGCTTTTCTAAACTACAACTGCCTCTCCTTCAGCGCTTAAGTTAGCAAACTGAACGAGACAAAGAGCACAACAAACAGAAACCGAACGCCACAAAAGGGAAAATATCCTGGTTAATGACCATTTAATGCTCTGGCCAAAGAGATTTCAAAAAATGAAGTGTTCTGTCACGTTGATTTCATGCAATCTTCTCAGCCTGGACTGCTGCAGGGACTGTTCAGACATGTATTTATCAACAAATGCTGCAAAAGGTCGAGTAACATCTGTTTGTAATGTACTGTGCAGATTACTACACTTCTAATCAGGTTTGCATCTTGTAGGAGACAATTGTCCTTCCCTCGAACGCAAGCCAGGTGGAACATCTTTAATCATATAAGAAGATCCCAATCTTCAAGGAAATTTTCTGTTCTGATGTTCTTTTTCGAGACATCCGATTACCAGAGGATGAATTCCCTCTAACAACTGCAGTAATTACATGCCTTCTGCTGGTTCGTCATTTTAGGGTATTGCAGGGGTGGCGAGAGAGTGGGGCAGAAGGGCTTTAAGCTTCCTTGGAATTGGGAACATACTGCCACCATCATTTCAGAACAATTTGCCACATGTCAGGCCCAAGGATTACCGGCATGCTGCAACTAAATCCGCGCTACATCTTTGACAACACTCAGAGCAGCAGCTGCTGAACATTGTAGTGGGGATTTACACTGCTTACTACCTTTATTTTCAAGAAGAACAGAAGCTGAAGAACAAAACACTTGTGCCTGGCATCTATTGCTCTGATATTTTTTCACAGAACTACTACACAGGCTGAAGCCTGTTATTACACAAAAAAAAAAACCAAAAAAACCCACAAAACCCAAAAAACACCCCCAAGTGAAAAACGATTGAGATGGCTCTAAGATTTTGTGGGGGTGGGAAATAATTAACAAAAATATATTAAATAAAATCACTAAAGTATGCTGAAGAGAAACGCACACCACTGGTACAGCCCACGCGTATCTTGTATTCTTGCGATTATTGAATAGGTTCGAAGTATTACCTAGGAAAGTTCAAGTCCAAAGGTTATCTTGATACAGGAAAAGATGCTGAACCTGCATTCAGCAATACCAGAAACTATAGCCAAGGAAAGGTCATGGAGAAACATACCAGTATTTCTGCTTGCTCAAAGTACTGCTTATCAACTCATTTAATTCTCAAGTTAGCTCAATCTGAAATGCTGTGTTAACAGCCATATCAAACTGCAGGTCTGGGCATCTTTTAACTAACAATTAATTCCAGCAAATCAATTGCCGATGTAACATCAGCTGACGGCATGAGGTGTTTTAGCATTGTAGAGGTAGCTGGGTGAAGTGGTTTTTTTTCTCCTGTTCCCACTTTTGTAACGTCTTGCTAAATTGCAGCGAGTTGTGCTTCACTTAAAGCTCTCGACTGCCCGGCCGCCCAAGGGCTCCAAAGTCGTGGTACAGAAACTTGCAGTGGTTCGAAACCTTGGCCAAAGCAGTACACAAAAAAGTAACCCAAGCGCGGTCGTCACCCACACGTCCTCGTGCCAGAAGCACGCCCTTGGCTGCTGCAGCACGGGGAATGCTAACACGCAGCCAGTGCAGTAGACTCCTTCCAGGATGATGCCATGTCGGAGCCCCCAGCCCGTTTCCAATAAGTGCTTTGTACAGAAGACGGGTTTACAAACCTTCAGTGGAGTAATAAATAGACAATCCGGACTAGAGCCTCATCCCTGGAAGACAACTCAGGAGACAGCTCACCGAGACTGACCACAGGAGCACATCACCTAACAGACAGCTTCAGGTCAGCTCTCGCAGAGAAATTCCAGTCAGGGTTTCCCAGCATCTTCGCTTCTCGCAGCGTCCATCCGCGGCATTTTGAGACTTACTTGCAATCTCTTATTATTTCTCTGAACTCCAGTATTAAGCTGAGGGAAGCAAAAGGCAATCTAGCCCAGTTTAATCCCAGTAAGAATTAGTGTAAACAAACAGAGGATCGCAAAAGGCCGCCCACTATAACTGAATAGCAAACTGTGCTGTATTTGTGACATGTCCTTTGTATAATTTGATGACAGCAGAACACGCATGTCTCCTCAACGTCTCTGAAACACTCAACTTAATGTTAACCAAGGACATTACAACACAAGCTTGTTAACGCACACTCGAATCAACAGCTTCTGTTCCCAAGTGCTGACTGCAGGAGCCGATTTTTCCACTGCCACCAACCAGTGTTTCAGGCATTCAAGAACCAGAACCAGTTTTCAACCTGTTAGGTGCCTGTCCTAAATGCCCCATGACTGGCTATTCAACTGTGCCTTCACTTCTCTTTTCTGTACAGAGTTTGCAATGTTAGCTTTGTTTCTATTAGACTGAGCATTGGAATTCTTTCTCAAGCTCATTTTCTTCTCCAGCTGGTTCTAAGAAATCTTTTCCACAAACATTTAGGCACAGAAGTTTACACGCAGTGCATCTGAAAACACTTTATTAATATGATATACACCAAGTGTGAGTAACACGAAGTGCTTCTAAGCTTTTTTCCTATCAACTCTCAAAAGAGCAGTCCAGTAATACGTTAGTTCATTCCACACCGATGGCTGCCCTGCACACAGCACGTCAAGCGCCATACGTGCTGTCGCTGGTTTTCCGTTCCTGTCTGAGAAGAACAAGCACAGAAGCTCTGACAGATGAGCAGCCTTCATCCTCTGGTTTCAGGTTCTCCTTCCCGCCGACCCTTGCAGCAGCACTCTCAGCTCCCCAGGGACGACCCCAAGGGCTCTCCACTCTCAGCAACGCTTGGTCCTTCCCAGCGACGATAAAAGGTTTCCAAGGCCAACCTCAGCATTTCCCTTGCCTCGGTGTCATCTTCCCAGACACATGTGAACATACCTGAGAGCATGTATTTTGCCAGACTTCCCAGCACTTTACGTGAGGTTGTTGACTCAAGAGATGACACATGATCTTCAGGTTCTTGCTGCTATCTCAACTCACATGACACAAGTTAGCTAAGTGTTGAGTCAAGTGTTGCTCTCCAGAGCAAACCCTGAAGCCTCCAAAACGAAGAAATAACTCTGGGTGACTCTGCTCAGCTACAGGTCATGTACAGCAACATTCATGAACCTGAGACCTACATCACCTGGAAATTTAAAATGAAACACAGCAAGAGCACAGTTCCAGTACAAAGACAGTTAATAGATTAGAACACACCTTCGACAGGAAACCGCTCCATAAGAATGTAAAATTTCCTTTTGTTTATTTATTTAAAATAGTCTGTATTGATAACACCAATATTTCATCTCATCATAATTCAAGAAATCTGAATTCAGTAGTCAGAAACTGAGGTGCAGAGTGACAGCACCGCCCTTTGATGCCCTGTGTAAGGTACACATGTGGTTTACTTCTTACATTCGTTACAAACACAAGGAACAAATCAGAATGAATGTCCTAAACAGAAATCAGTACAAGAGGAAATCAAAGCATTACAGACATTTGTCAAGGTGGTCCTAGAAAGCTCTCAACCGGATAGAAAGCATCTAAGTAAACACCCTTCTCCTTTTCTCTGCTGTCTTAAAACATCCCATTTCAAGATACTTCTGTGAGCAATTCCATAGAGAAAACAAACGATCTTTTAAGAAAACATACATTCAGATTGAAAGATTTGTTTGCTACATGTAATGCACTGTTAACGCAGAAGGCACAGTACCTCTCTGGAAATCGTGCCAGTAAAAAACTTGTTTAGATTCTAGTTATGAGTCAATAGGATAAAATAAGGCTGTTCAATAAAATACCGATTTTCATAAGGAAAGAGGTAACAGTTCACAATCAACTCAACATTGCTCAAGCAGTCTGGTTCTTTAGCCATGACTGGATTTGATTTCATTAAGGCACCTCCCCTTGTTTTTCACTATGTCAGGAAGTAAAGCTGGAATTCAAAGCACCAACGTTAAACATAGGACACAATACAGCAAGGCCACTTATTACAAGCTAAGCCATACGATAACCATCTGAGAAACAGCGAGGGGCAAGTACTTTTTTAGGATCTACGGTGAGGAAAATAAAACGATCCCTAGACACATTGGTATGAATACTCAAGATAGGATAGCACCGACCCGGCAGTTACCCTCTCAGGTGAAGTCTAACAACTACTGTTCTCTCGGCACGTGAATTTAAGGCTCACCTACAAATCAAAGCAAGCTCTTGAATGAAGAGTTTAGGGTAAATCCTCCCAAGCCTAGAGACTGTACCTATAGAGCAAACAGTTCTACACTGAAGAATTGCCTTGCAAGTGCCTTGACTACCGACTCTTAAAAGGAGGTCAACCTGGCCTTTCTGAGGGAGCACGAAGTAAAAAGAGAAGCTAAGAACACAGTAACATACCTAGCAGAATTAACCGAAGTCTTCCTAACAACTACCAGGAGCAGATACGGATGCTGAGGCACGTTTACCAACGGCATGCAGGACACAGCAGCGTTACCCCAGTCTCTCCTCACCCCATACAGCTCAAGGGCACTGGGGACCAGTAAGCAGCCCCAGCGGGCGATGTTCAGGAATGCAAGAGCAAAGTCAAAGGAAGCATAAACGCTACCTGAGGGTGACCCGAAGTGCTTTATTTTCAGGCAGTTTATCTGAGCTTTTCAACTTCTATAAAAGTAGCTTTCAAAAGTCATATTAAGGCACTTTTATCACACAAACACTCTCAACAAAGCTTAGGTAGCTGCCTAAGAAGAATCATAAGTTAGCAAAGCTCTTCTTACTGTCATGTAGCCTTTCCATTGCCACAGGTACCAAAACACATATATTTAAGTGCTGATCAAGTAAACACCGAAACTGGCCGTTAAGCTGCAGGATGATGCAGTTTCACATTCAATGTTCACATAAAACGGTATTTTTACTTCTGACCAAGCTAAGAACAGTAAAAACTGAACTGAATCACAACAATGAATACTACCTCGCCCCTCCAGAGGTACAGATAACACAGGACATTTGTCTGGTTTTACTCCATTTGCACCAAAACTATGCATCCAGTGCACAAGTTGACAGTCTTAACTCTGCAGAAGAACCCAACTGAGGCAAGAGCGTGAGCTGAAGCAGAGCACACAGCAGTAGCAAAATTTGGTGTCATGAAATAATTTGGTTTTAGCAAAAGCAGTTCTGGTTGTACACACATGTATTGGCACTGCAAGGATTGTGTAAGTCCATATGCTGTACCATGAATTAGATGCATAAGTATTTTGTAATTGGAGGTAATGAATATAATAAAACACCCCATCTCTTCAACCCATCTACTGTCATGAGGCAGCAAACACCTTTATCATTCTTTGGTCATTTAACCAGATGCATACTTGAACAGATACATAAATATATATATGTACACAGGTATACATATATATATACACACACATGAGGTAGTGATGCTAGTGATGTAACTTGCCTGGGTGAGAAATGAAAGGAACAGAACCAAAGGGATCTTCAGGAGGATTTTTCTGTGGGGCACAATGTGGCTCCACATTCTTATCTGAAGATGCTCTCCTTTCCATCAGCCTGTCTGTAAAAAACAAAATGAAACAGAAAAAAAAATAAAATAAAATAAAAATGGCAGGTCTTGTGCCTATGCAAAGATATCTAATGTACGGGGCGAGAGAAGAATATCCTCTCCATTAGAGATAGCCTCTATCTTGAATAGGACAGGAGACTGATCCATTGGGTTTTTTATTCTTAGAAAGACATATAACAGGTTTTGTAACAGACTCAAAAAACTCATAGCACTAACAACAGTAAAAGAAAACTGCAAGCGGGAGGGAGTTGTTCCAGTAGAGACAACCCTGACTTAAAATACAGACCCACCTAGGGGCTCCCAGTGCAGGAGACAAAGTGGTTGCTCTCACGTCAACATATCTACACTGAAATAGGCGGAGACCAATCACCCTGACCAGAAGGACTCTGCACTGACACAGCCCCACAGCAGAGAACACCTGCCGAGGTGCACAGAAGACTGGTGGTTCAGCTTTGAGCTTGGAAGACAAACAACTGCTCAGCATCGCACCCAGCAGCAGTACTACTACTGATTCTGACAGGCACATCTGCCTCCGGTGGGAATGGTCTGGGGTTTGGGTTTTCAGGCCAAGGGGGTTGGATTCAGGTTAGTTGGTTGGCTGGGATTTTTTGGCAGGGAGGAATATTGCTTTATTCTTTAATTTGTTTGCAGTTTGCGTTTGGTTTGGGGTTTTTTTTAGTTTTAACTTAAACACATACGACCTTGGACTTGCATCTTCGCAAACACAGACTGAGGGATGCTCTTATTCTGTGTCTCACCTCCAGAGCAAAACCACTGACTGCCACACAGTTTGCAGGCAATCAAACTCTAGAGTAACTTGGAAGGGCGCAACAACTTGAACTACCCTCTGGAGAGCCCCTGCAGACGCTGACATGCAAGACTGATCAAGTTCAAGCCCCCAGATGATGACTGATCTCCCAGCTTGAGCTGTAGGGCTAGGGATAGCAGAAAAAAAAAATGGACTGAAAGGCTAAGCACACAAGAAAAATTAGATCAAGTGACTAAATACAAGGTCGCAACCCCTCCACTGCACCTATGCATACATATACCGGTATACGTTTCTCTGGAAAATAAAGTTTAAAATTTGTCAGTTCATCAAAGCTAAGGGAACTGGAAAATAACAAGCCATTCTTGTAGGTTTCCAAGGTACAAGTGTCATGTGGCTACCTCTTAACATGATCAGTTTGAGAGAAAGGAGACAGCAGCAGTTTCTCCAGCTTCACACAAGCAGAAGTAGATTCGGTGGGACTGTCAGTATTAGACATTAGTGCTTCAGACGCCACTTCCTTATAATAAAGATCCAAGTTTTTTCCCCCCCGCAGTGAATCACCAGCCCAGGCTGTTGCCAGAGACACCATCACATACCACAGTAAACCCTTCCACAGAGAAATGCAGATATTTAAAACCACAAACAAGGAATCCAGCTCTTCCCGTGCAAGTGGCAGGCCCACGACTGCACGGAAGACAGTGCTCTTGGGAGTGCGCGAAATTCCAGAAGCACTCGTGCACAAGAAAAGCACGCTCAGAAGTACGGACGGTCTAGGGAGTTCCTTCATACTGTACATACTGCAGAGGAGAAGGGCAGAGAGCTTGGTAGGATTGGCACCCACCAGCATCTCTGCTGAAGCACCGAGGTGGTTCTGGCCTAACTAGAATGTTTGTGCAATTCGGTGTGAAGGTGGAGCTGGTTTTTTTCCCCCAGTGAGAAACCTGACTCGTTTTCTTGGCTCCCAATTCAGCACCAATTATGAAGTCATTACAGGAACTCTTTCCAAGAAATCTGTTTCTTCACGACATTGCCAGAATCTCAGCATCACGTGTGCTTCTGGACCATCACTAACACCGATACAATGACAACCAAGAACCAGCAGTGTCCACCAAAATCAAGAACTCCACTCCGTAACTCCATTCCCAAGTGCTCCACAAAGGTGCTCAGTTCAGAGCCTTCCGTACCATCGCACGTTACGTTCTGCCACAACTGTCATCTTGCTCCTAAAATCTTCCACGCAGGGTAAGCAACGTATTCCGTCTTATGAGTTAGCTTCTTTTCTCAAGAGAAAACGATTCATCATCACAGCAACACCCATCACTACAAGCACCGTGATATTAGGCTGCTAAATGCATGAAATACAACAGTAATGCTAGCCTGACAAATTATGATGACATCTTGATCCTATAACAAAGACTGTGTATATTTAATAACCCATGTATCACTGTCACAAACTTAACAGCTTAAAATATTTTTCAATTTGTCAAATACATTTGTAATTTCTACGTAAAGCATCAGCTCAACAATACAAGCCAGGCTTTTGGAAGTGGAAAGCAAGTTGCAATGCTTTGAGTCCTGCTCAGCACCACATAACATTGCAAAGAGACAAGTTTCAGTAACACTGTACAGCGTTATAAAGCACAGGAGAGCAACTGGGTTCACTAAGAAAAAATACAATTCATCAAATCGGCATCTTCAATTCTCCTTCCTCTCTAGGACAAAACAATTCACAATAAACTCCAAAGTTGAAGGAAATTAAATTACTTTTAAGTAGACAACAGCTTTCTCTCTGAAGAGGTAACCTCCATCAGAAGTGAATTACGCCTTCATCCTTAAGAGATATCTGAGGAAATTCCAGGAAGCATCGTGAAGTTAATGGCTATTTTATAGGCATAAGCCTTAACTGTATAATAACTAACATAAGTTCTCTTTATTCCACCTAAGTCTGAGAAAATACCAGCAGACAAAATTTAGAATAAAAAATTATGCTTGGACTGCAGTAAAGGCATTATCACTACAAGACACGCTCACACCATCTTTGGCACAGTCACCTTTCATATCAGAAAACAACGTCAAAAGGTCTTTGAGGCCATTGGTATATGTACCAACGTCTACAGACAAGCACACACACACTGAGATAAAAACTAGCAGGGCCGCTCACAGAACTGAAGCCCAAAGGCCGGAGAGCAAAGCCATAACCCCTCTCACCTTCGGTATAAACCAGGCTGCCATCTAGTGTGCTGCTGGGCAAATGGAATTTAATTTTTTTACCTTCTCTGTACTTAAGTGACCAAAAAAACCCAATGCTGGTTATTACTGAGCAAAGCCAAAAAGCAAAGCCAAAGACATTTCCTTTTCCCTGTCACAGCCGGCTCTTCTGTGCACTCAATGATGTTCAAGAGGAGAGCCAAAATGACACAAAGACATGGCACTCCGGGACACAGTTTGGTGGGGGACTACGTAGTGCTGGTTGGACTCGATCTTAAGGCTCTTCTCCAACCTTAACAACTGTAGGATTTTCTATTACTCCAACTTCCTATAACCAGCCTATGGAGGTACTGTAGGCACATACATTGTACGGTGTTTTCCACCTCAAGTCAAGCCACTTGAAACACTTTCTGTACTTAGCTGTGTTCAAAACATGTGGCTTAGCCAAATGATTGTCAAAAAATTACCATAACTACAGTCAGAAGCCCAACAAACAGTTAAAAAGTGTGCAAATAGGTTATGTTGTGCTGAGCTTTAGGTTCAAGCTAACCTTCTCCCGACTCAAGAGCCTGGTCTGTTCAAACTCCTAAGGCTTCAACTGCAAGCAGCGTGCCCAATAATCCTCAATTCTACTACCAAGTTATTTCAAATTCTTATCTTGTATGCAGAAAAAATGCTTATTTTGCAGCTGGTATGTGATCCATTTTTGCCAGATCTGAGTAAGCCATTTTACTTGAACATGTGCACAGGCTACATTCGCATCTCAAAAATACAAATCTTCTGATCAATACAAGGTACGAGTGAAACCAGACAACTAGTGTCATCAAAAAAAAAACATAACCACAACCCAAACCGAAACTAAAAAACCCCACATGCACTTTCCTTCAGCTTTAAGGACACAAAATCAAGATGACTCAATTGAAGCCATAGTTGTGGGTTTTTCCCCCCCAATTACTTGAAAACTTACTCAACTCCATTTTTAACTGCAAGGAACTTGCTGACAGTCAGCCAAGTACACACAATCTGGTTTTTGACACTGTCACATCTTACAAGTCTCACTAATAAATCTGATCTTGACAAAACTAGTTTGGGGAAGAGCACCTAATAAGCACGTGTGAAGCAATTAAGAAAAGGAAGTAATTCCAAGTAAAAACCAGTGAGATAACTGACTTGAGGATGAAAAAGTTTATTCAACTATTACCATATCAGAACAATAAAGCAGCCCTTACATGTAGCCACTCATCAAAAATAGCATTACATTAACATAATGTAATAGATCAATTTTCTTTCAGGCATTTTCAAAGGACTTATCAGACCCACAAAATCTTCTGCTCTGGTGTGCAGGAAAAAAAGCTGGAAAGAAAGCAAGCAAGCAGCCGAGCTCCTCTTCCTATGTGACAACATACCTCTGATGCTCAGAGCTTCTTGGCCATCAAGGTGACACAAGCAGTACTGAAGAGTTAAGATATGACCATTTCTGCAGCATTTGAACCAGCAACTACCAGTGCTAAACAGCGCACAGATTTTTCAAAAAGGGAACGAAAAGAAGGAAGACAGGCCCAACTCTGTCCCTTGAATGCTCAGAAAGAATTTTCTGTACACAGACCGCACGGCCCTTCCACAAGACAGGTGATGGAACTGCTGAGCAACTACAGAGCCCTTATTTACTGTGAAGCAAAATAAGCCTTCAAGCGTCCCTTACTTGATCTCAGCAGGTCAAACTCTCTGTCCAGTAGCTCCTCCTCTGTCAACTTGGAAAAATTATCCTCTCCAAACGGGTTCCAGCCTGACATATCAGGCGGGTTATTGATGCTCTGCTTCGGGTAGCCCTCAATTGCTTCGGCATCAGGAATACCTGACCTGTGAAGTCGGTTCATGGAAGCAGAGAGAAACATTACTGGATTGTTTAATGGGGTCAAAGTTTACAGCACACTTCACGATGCCAAAATACTATACACAAGTAACACACGTGCATCAACAGCTTATCCCCAAAGCACATGAAAGCTAGCATAAGAGAAGATGAGTAACTTGAAATACGTGCTTTGATGACCGTTTCTGTGTGCATTCCTTGGGCTTTTATTTTTCAATTTATTAATTGTAGCCCAAGTATATAATATCCTGCATGAAGGTGACACGCGTGGGCAAAAAAACTGCATTTCACCTGTGGTCATTTCTACGTTGTCCTGGAAGACTGCCTTACCTTCCTCAAGAAAAGCCTACTGAGTCCATAAACACGAAAAAGTGGAAGACAGGTTCTTTAATAAGTTGCAGCAGGCTCATCTGTTAACAAGTTAAACTTTCCACCCTCCTCCCAAAACATGCTTTACCAGTCAAGAGCAACTATCCAACTGCTTTAAGTCATACCATAGTATGGGAGCAAATAATTTCCGAGGAAAGGATTAAGCAGTGCTCACCACAACTAGGAAGGGAAGCACACCTCTGTCAGAAAACTTGCCTGCTTGCAGGGTAGGGAGAGTCCGCCACTGTTCCAGCATGCACTGGAAGGGACCCGGGGTAGGAGATTAAGGCTGGCGAGAAGTCTTGTGGAGAAGCGATATATTCCGGAGACTGTGCCTGTCGCGACCGCTGCTGCTGTTGAGCAAGCATCTGCTGCTGCAGGAGAACCTGGTGATATTGCTGCACCTAAGGATGGCAATGAACACATTACGAAAACTCACGAGGCCTGGCGTGAATCTCTTCTGCAAAGTACCAACACCGGCCTCACAGCCAAACGCACTAACAACCACCGAGCTCCAGCTCGGTAGCTTCAGCAGATTCAAGAAGCCAGACCTGCCAGTTACACAGGCAGAAATAATTGCCCTAGCAGGTCAGTAAAACCCTTTTATCTCTTCCAACATATCACCACTTGGCTTTTGGCAATTAGTGCAACCTCAGTATCTGCTGTAACAAGTGAGTTCTCATCATTTCCTACTCTTAAACATTAATAATCATAATTTCAGGATTTTTAAAATCCTGAGATTTTGAAAAACAAATTATGCCACTTATTTTCTTGCTTTGTAAGTAGAAATTGGATGCCATCATGTCTTCTGTCACTTTGTAGCATAACACACATTCTTGGCTGCCTTCACTACTAGCACCAAGTAAGTACTACCCTCAAGCACCAAGTAAGTTTCAAATTAGTAAATAACTACTTCATCAAGTTTAAGGTACATCCCATCCACTTAATACGTAAGTGCTGCAATGAAGTTTGGGTTAACTTCCCCCCTCCCCAACTCAACATCATTTTACACACTGAACTTGACATTGCTTACCACGTCCATAGCTTAATGCAACTACTCACAAACTTCTCTTACTGCATCTTCACAACAGAGCTACAAACGCGGCACTAGTGTAAGATTGTGCCACGTACGTTCCATTCCCGACATACCATAGCAGGATACTGCGATTGGGAGGGTTGCTGCTGGTACACAGACTGCATCAACAGCTGCTGCTGGACCATCTGCTGGTGCATTGCTTGTTGATACTGCAATTGAGAAGAGGAAAAAAGCTTTGAGACAATCACTATCTCCCCCCGCTTAGGAATATCCAGAAATTTACAATAAGCATTAATTAATTTATTACTTCTGTGGTTCAACAGCATTTTTTATTTAAGACGTCACACAACCCAGAATCAGCTTGCAATTTAGTCACTTCACGACTCTTGGTGTAGAAGTGGGGGTTTTTTTCTCCCATTAATACTAGTCTGGACCACTCATTCCTTGCCTTTTCTTAGGCAAGCCAATTAACATCCCAACTTCCACAATTTCCACCAGTGTTGAGTCCCTTTGGAAAGCAATTCAGCTGCACTTGGAAGAATTAACATGTCTCAACAGCAGAAAAGAGCACAGCGCCACCACCTAGATAACTCCTAACATATCTCAAGTCTGCACACACACAAAAACTGTATTTGGGCCACACAGCGGTTATTCAAGACAAGCTGGGATTCAGGGTCAAACTGCAAACCCAAGAGAGCACAAAGAAAGCACCTTTCCAGGATAAGCATTACAGTGCCGACAAAGAGAAAAACCAAAGGTAAAAAGAAAGGGCAGGAGCCACGGCCCCTTTCTCTCTCCTAACAGGACAAAAACAGGCCATAACAACAGAGATACTGAACTAGCACACGACTGCAAATGTTACCAGCGAGCTTAACGTGTCTTGTAGAAACTTAACAGATTTGACTCGTACCTGCTGAAGGTAAGCATCCTGAATGCTGGGCTGCTGCTGGTGTAACTGGTGCAGCTGCTGCAGCCTCCAGTCGCCTTGCTGCAGCTGCTGGAGAACCCTGTTCTGCGGCGGGGGGTGCTGGTTCGTCCCTTGGGACTGCAACATCTCCTGTCCGGTTCCTGGGCGTGTGGCTCCTGTGACATTGACACAACGCTAGTGACACACTGACCTCTAAAGTTTAGCTGGAGACCCTCTTCAGTTAACCCTTCAAGAGGAAAGAGTTGATAAACTTCCCTTCCCAGTCTAACAGCTGCCACAGCTGGCAGATACTAAGTTCATTTCTCGACAAATCCTGCCCATCCTGCCAATGACCATTTCGACTGGCAAGATAGAAGCTTCCTTGGGTCTCACATCACAGGAAGCTGGACTCAGCACTTGGGGTTTTACTAAGTCTTCAGCTGTACCTTGTAGTATCTCAAGCCCTAACCCTCAAAGCACACTGTTAAGTACACCTACAATGCACAGAACGTTTTTTCCTAAAGGAACCACTGGCTTAGTTGTCCAACTCCCTTACGCATAACACCACGTTAATTGGGCCACTCAATTGGCTTTGCAGCCTTTTAACTAAGACATTACAAGCATACATCAATCTCTCTTGTGTACTGTATTTATATTCTGAAGTGCCCAGAGTGATCTGTTCTTTGTCATTACAGGAAAAGCCATCCAAGTTGGATGTCATTTGGATCCCGGCTAGCAGAAGCTGTTCATGCCTAGGACACAAGCACTGTCAGTGGCCTTTTGATTGGAGGCTTGCCCCAAACTGTCCCTGAAGCTACTCTTCGTGTACTGTAACAGACACCTAACACCACCAAGTACCACCGGGAAACTATTTGAGATAAATACTCCCATAAATAGTGTTTGCTTGTATCAGAACCGTAACCGGTTTTGCATGAGATACAGAAAAACTCCAAGGATGTACTGAAAACCCCTTTTACTTGATCGAGTCTCTCTCAACTCCTGCTCTGTTGCCCCTCTATTGCACCCACAGTGCAATGTGAAATATGTCGGTCAATCCTCAGAGAAGTGAAGTGTTTTCATAGAATCGTAGAAATAATCAGGTTGGAAAAGACCCTTGGGATCATCAAGTCCAACCTATAACGCTACTCTGCAGAGTCCACTCCTAAACCATACCCCCCAACACTACCTCTAAACGACCTTTAAACATTTCCAGGGAAGGTGACTCAACCACCTCCCTGGGAAGCCTATTCCAGTGCCTGACTGCTCTTTCTGTGAAAAATTTTTTTCCTAATATCCCACCTAAATCTAGCCTGTGGCAGCTTGAGGCCATTCCCTCTAGTTCTACCATCAATTACCTGTGAGAAGAGACCAGCACCAACCTCTCTACAATGTCCTTTCAGGTAGCTGTAGAAAGAGATGAGGTCTCTCCTCAGCCTCCTTCAAACTAAACCACCCCAGCTCCTTCAGTCGCTCTTCAAAAGATTTCTTTTCTAGCCCCTTCACCGGCCTTGTTGCCTTCCTGCATACTCGCTCCAGTACCTCCAAATCCCTCTTGTATTGGGGTGCCCAGAACTGAACACAGTTCCAGCCCACAAATAATGCCAACATATTGTTGGTATCGCACGACTTATTGAGGCACAGTGGAAATACTGTTCCTACTACAACGAAAACAGCCTGTTACAGAGGAGCTCAGTGTATCTCGTGAATTATTCTAAAGCCAAAACTGAGAATGAACTTCTCTCACAGTCTGCAGTGGTAAAGTTAGTTTGAAATGACTGTTAACCACAAAGGAAAAAAACCCCTTCGCTTCTCAACATCTGGCACTTAGCTTTTATGACATCTGTTCCAACTTGTTACTTGCACATTTAGAGCCTTTTGCAAAGGCACACAAGAGTAGCACATGAATTGGATTTTTAAATGTTACCCCTACCAGATCAAGACAGAACATACATACAAAATTACGTCTTCACTTATTTTGGCGTATCTTTCCACTTTATTATGTTACCTCTTTGTCCACGATGACCAAATTCACCAGGGACTTGTACTTTGGCTGGAGTTGCTGAACTCTGAATCGTCAGCACATTAGAAGTAGCAGTGCTTGCGTTGGCCTTTGGTCTTTGTCGGGGTGCAATTGAGGTTTCTGTTGGTCCAACAGTGTCTGTTATTCTGAAATGGCAAGTTTTCCCATACAAGAGACTTAATTAAAAAAGACTTTCTTCAGATGAGACATAGTGTCTCTCTTAACACATCAATTATACTTAAAGTACGTAATTATTCCACCACAGAACAGGTTCTCAGTTTCCCTCTGTGGATTCTCAGTAAAATGAAAAAAGCATTGCAGTGGAATCCAGAGAGAAACTCGAGTTCTTAGAAATGCAATTTATCTATTCTAAGGCCCTCTGCTACTAACAAGAGTTCTTTGTTTATAAGAAATCATATTAAAAAAAAAAAAGTAAAGCACGCCACATCTACTGCTCACCTTGCTTTTATCTGGCTTTTTCTAGCAGCAGCCTCACTAGCTGTCATGGGTTCAGGAAGAGTTGAAGGAAGAGGAGAATTCTTGGGAAAAATAAATTTGAATAAATTAAAAAAAATCCTGAAAGAAAAAAATCATTATATATTGAAGAGGAATATTTGCATTCACATTTTTTATGTTATAAGGCTTCATACAGAATGAACTCACAGGGCTGTAGATTAAAAATGTTTTAATTTACCAATAACTCTACGTTCTCTTCTTGATGGCACAAGTAGAAGAAAACTATTACCAGCCTGTTTCGTCAACTACGTGATTTGCGCAGTACCAACCACCAACAATCAATTAAAGCATTTTCTCCAAATATTTTCTTACAGCTGTGCGTTTACTGAGCATCTTGTAAAAGGGTCAACAACAAAGGAATTCAAAGGGATCCCATCAAGTTCCCTCATCTGCCTTGAAAGGCAGAGTTTACTGAAACTGACATTCGTTCCAGAATGAATTCCAAGAACTGATTTTTCCTGATGCGCATCTGGAGAATCACTTTAGAACACTGAACATTTGTGATGTGCCCTCAAATTCCATTCCACAGGAGTGAGATCAGCGAACAAGATGGACTTTGAGAGCACGTTCAGACTTTCCAACAAAGCTCAAACTCACACGGCAAGCGAGGGAAGGAATGCAGGGTAGCCAAGGAACTATCCCATGCCTTCCAGGTCGCTCTAGTCCGTCCGCTGGATTAACATAAACGCTGAGAACTACTACACGAAGAGGATTATCCACAACTAACATCAATCTCCTGGACACTACAGTCAGAACATTAAACCTTCCATCATCAACAACTTCACGTTCAGTAGTATACTTCGTATTAATTGTATTAGGCACGGGAGATTAGTAAAGGTTAAAAACCCTAAGTCAGGTATCGGTTTAGAATCCACATAATTCATGAAGCTATACCCTCAAATTTAAAATTTACTTCTCAGAAAGCTAAAATCACATGTATGCAATAGCAGCTTTAAGGGTATTCCACTCTATATTTTAAATTTAGGAATAAGGCTTATGAATACATTTAAACCACCTCAGCTGATTCGATGCACTTTTCTCAATGCTACCTAGAAAATACCCTAAAATACAGGAAAAATAAAAGACTACTTACATTCATGTTAGACACTGGACAATCCTTTTTAGCAAGTTTAAAGGCAAAGTAAGATACTTGAAAGATATCAGGTCTCTGTTCTTGATCTGGTTCAAGCATGTATCCTGCAAAACAGGTGAAACCAAATCACCCCTGCTGCTGACACAGTGTGCTACCAGCAAGTCAAAATTCAGCAGCTCTGCCAAATGAGCATACCACAGAAAGAGCCATTTTCACTGTTGTGGTGGTCTTGGGGACTTTTTAAGATTTTTGTCAAGTCCAATAGTTTCTAGGGCCAAATACAATTGCAAAAGGTATATGCTAGTTGATACTTGGACACTCAGTTGTGCAAAGGGTAGTTCCAGCAAGGCAATAATTAATAAACTCCAGAGCAAAACAAGAGAAAAGCAACTCATAGTACTAGAATTTTCTAGCATTAATGAAAAATTCAAAGTAGTTAAAAGAAGATTCACAGATTATTTAACTGCATCAGGCTAAGGTTCTACATATTTTGCCTTGCTGCTCCAGTTGGCTGTGCACACTTCTGCATATTAAAATTAAAATTTAAAAGAAAAAATTAAATAGTTCCATGGATAGAAGTACTTGTTCTTGACAAGGCAAAATTTTTAATGTCCCTCTCAAACATTAGCTTCTCAAATTAGAAGGTCTGGGTACGTTACTTAGTATTGTTTGCAATATTATACAGAGAACACAATCAGGAAATCTCATCTAAATGACTCAAGAATCTAAACAAACAGTTAAAGATATTTTCAAACAAGCTAACCCTCTAAAAACATTCAGCCACAAAGAACACGTACAGCCTATGAAAAGTTCTCTGTTTTGATAAGAAAAATAGGAGGTACATTTCCAAAACTGTTCAGCAGCACAGCAACCCTAAACCAAAATTTCGTAAAAAAAATCTTATCATGATTTTTTAAATACAAAAATACTATCATTTTTGACAGGTATTAAAATTCTACTCAAAGGCAGTATTTCATGGCCAACACAGTTGACAGCAAGTTTTATTTTTAGGTTTATTTTTCAAAATAAAGCAGAATGAAACTTGCAGTGACAGCACCAATGAAGTGGAAACAGAACACTTCGCATGAAGCGACTCCTGCCACTTGTTTCTGAAATACTACATTTACGAGGTGGAGAATGTTCAGTTGGTTTCTGCCCACTCTCACCTTATAAAAAAGCCCTAAGATGAAGCCAGAAGTCCCCAAAACACCTTTTATGACCAACTGCAGCTTTTTTCGGCTTCCAGATGGAAACTAGAGAAGTTGACACTACAAGCTTCTTGCCCATCCACACATATTCCATGCCAGTAATGCTCATCTTGGCACAGCACTTCATTGAATCCTAATAAATCAGCCTTCGTTCTTACAGGGAGACAGGATTAAAACCAGTACTCTTTGAAAAGTAGCACTGTGACACAGAGAAAGTACTTAATCACTTGAAAATTAGTCTCATTTTGTCAGTTATTAAGTATTTGCCGACGCCAAGCACTTACTATGGTAATTGCTATTTCTCAGTTCTGCACATGTGCTTAAAGCAGTTTGGATTTGGTATCTCCTGTTATATACAAGCATAAATTATACAGTCAACACACTCACAGCTTAAAAACACATTACAAGGGCTCCTACCTAAACTTACTGAGTTTTTCCTCTAAAATTCTGCCCAGTGCAATTCATCTCGGTACATTTACGCTTCTACACTAAACTTACACTTCATATTCATCTAAGCACAACTGGCCAACTTGGATAGAAAATACTACTAAGCATCTGAGATTGCATAGAAAAGGAACTACGAATAAATTAAGAGCTACTGTCTGGATTCCCCTTATCCCTTTGTGGTTTATGGCTACCAAAAAGGAAAAAAAACAAACCACAAAACAAAAGTAAAAAAGAGAAAACCAACTATCATTCTTGCCTCCCGAAGAAACCAAGAACTTTTTCTAACTTCACCGAAGCTCTTAGGACTTGTAAGAAACAACTATATCTGGCAGGTCTTTGCATGGTTTTATGTGTTCCAGTTCCACAGTTATCAACATTACTATCAACTCCTCCACTAAATGCCCAGAATACAGCAGTTGATTTTAATATTTTAGCCATCCAGGAGAAAGACTTGTAGGTACTTCATTCATGTGGCTCACTTTTAGTGGCCTTTCACCGAAGTTTCCTCTAGGTTTCTGAACTCTTCTGTACCCTGTGGCACAGCCTTCCCTTGAGCAAACGGATAAGCAAGTCTCCTTTCAAGGGCGACGGGGGAAGTTGCAAGACAGACGGTAGCCAGGAGCAACTCGCAGTGCTCCCTCAAGAACCCAGCCAGCCCACACCACCCAGTCAAGTCACTCGTCTATCTTAGCAGCATCTCCTGTGATTTAGTTGATTTACAGGGCAAAAGAATTGCCACGCTGCCCACATACTTACTTATCAAGCAGTGTATACTAGGAGAGTATCGGGAGTTGTCCGGAATGGTAAAGCTTCCATCGCAAATGGCAACTTGACTTTCTCCAAAGGGAAGCGAAAAGAAACAAAGTTTATACAGCAAGCAGCCAAGAGCCTGTAAAAAAACAAATAAAGGCATTGTAAAGGGATGGGAGAAAGCCTTGTACACAACAAAGCACCAACAAGAAACCAACTCTCTCCTAGCTACAGTTGATGCTTACACTGCTATGCTGAAGCTGCACGATGAAGCGCTGCGTTGATGGGACAAGCTGTTATGTAAAGCAGCTCTCAAAGGGATTCCTTTCCCACCAACTTCTACATTAGACAACAGACTACCAAAATCACAGCATATCCCAAAAGCTGCACTCATACTGCCCTAACACTCGGAGATCCCAGCAGCCTCCTCGCTCACTTCACTGCAGATTACCTAATAAAAACACCTTTCCTTATCACGCTGCCAACAGGTTTCCATGAGAAATCACTGGTCACTACCAAGCAGCAACCTGAGCTGACACAAATGAAAAAAAAATCTAAATCGCATCCTCCTGAACTCAAAATGATCGTTGCACACGGCATTCATTTACAGAAGATGTAACTACCAAAGAGAGCTCTACCACTCTGCATTGTATAACTGCAGGATGTATTCCAAAGAGTTAGTTTTCCCGTGAGCCAATGCTGTTTTTAACTTGCCCCACATCTTGCTTAGTTTCCTACTTCACAGCACCTGATTTATTGCTTACCCAGACATCCGCCTTGGTAGTAATGGGCTTTCCTCCATAAAGATTGATCATTTCGGGAGCTCTGTACGACAGCGTTGTATACCTAGCAGCATATTTTTAGAAGAGGACATAGATGAGAAGTGTGCCTCCCAGCTGAAAGCATGTTCGTGTGTCTCTGCCACACACACATCATTCACAACCAAATTTCAAATACACATCTGGAATTGTCTTACAGAACTTAACTCATTGATTGCACCTACAGCATCACAGGCAATATTTGGAGCAGCAACATAAAATTATAATGTGCAAGGCTAAGTCAGCTAAAACTTGGTTTTCATGTTATTTACCCTGCAAATGTACTTTTGGAACAGTCATTTCACTTAAATAATGTAATAATCAGTCACTTGAAAGATGTAATCTAAGAGCCCTACAAGCGTATTCCTCATCGCACACTAAGACATACAGAACGCAGACTTGAGAAGACTGACAGCTCAAAATAATTATTAAATAGGTAGTCAAAGTATTTTTCAGAGCTGGAAAAAAACCAACCCAAAAAGGCTGTGTCGCTTCATAAGCTGAGAACAAGTAGCCTGCATTTATTGCTCTGCAGCAGTTAGCCCGAAACAGCAAAACTCAACTAATGCTCAGGTTTTCAAGAGTGCATCTGTAATAAAAATTATAATATTCTTCTGATCATTCTTAGGTGAATAAACATTAACCTTACACTCTACATAAGACTCTACATAAATCCATCCCAATGCCTATTTACATCTTTTTCTGTCACTCCATCTGCTGTATTAAAAATATCAAATTTAAAAGATCAAACTCTTCAAATGGCCAGTAGTCAGAGATAATATTTTTGTACAATTGCAAAACAGCATGCTTTTTCCCAACAATTTTATTCGTAAGAGTATAGTTTTGCAAAAACTATCCCTGAATAAATACAAGAGATCCCTGTTACCAAATAGTTCTGCTGTTTTACTAAATTTATATCAATATTAGTTCAAATTCAACCACGAAGTTCAATTCATAAGACAGACGCACACCACACAACAATACACCGAATTTCCTCGCAGCACAACCATTGCTTATCACAGGCAACTCCAAGTGAACTTACTTCTTAATTTCTTCTTCAACCACATTGACTCCATCTTGCTGAGGATTAAGAAACTTGTTAGTGGCACTGCCAAAATCACAGAGAACATAGTCGCCGCTATCGTTTAACAATATATTCTCCACCTTGAAAGGAAATCAACACAGAGAAGCATTAGATGAAAATCATAGCATTAATTTCCAAGTTAACTGTTACTACCCTTTCTCACAAACCGGATAGTTTGCAGAAACATCGACTGACAGACTTGGCATTAGCAGTAAGTGAAATCTTCCAGTTCAGTTTCTCTCTTGACAGCGGCATAAACAGCAAGTGCATCCTTAACTCAACGTCAGTCTTAGTGAAATATGTCTCAATCCTTTTAAGGCAGATCATTGATTTTAAACTAGATCTTCCCTTTTCTTAAGTTCATACCTTCAGATCCCGGTGAACTATAGGTGTTTTGCACTGATGCAACCGGGCAACGGCTTCACACGTATCACAAAATATTCTCATAACTTCTGACTCAGTAAAGCCTGTCTGCAGACGCTGATTCATCTGATTCACAACTTGCCCAGCTAAAGGAAGAACAAGGTAATTTTGGTATCACATACAGAAAAAAAGACTTATTTATATGCAAAAAGTCCACAGATAAGACAGGAGATATTTCCATAGTCACTGTATTTAAAATGAAAAAAAATCTGGTTTTCCAAATGCACACTCTATTGTCCTAGATAGAAAAAATTACTGTCTCAAATGAAAAAAAAAAAGGTCCCTGTGACTGGAAATCATTTGGGATTAACTGTCACAAACACAAAGCAGCATCCACCACAAAAAGACGTTACCTCCAAGCTGTCTCTTGCATGTGAATCCATAGGCAAAACCTGTCAACCAACCAAGTGTAACTGAATTCATATTCTAGACACTCACTCTCTTTGTCTTTCTGACAGACAAAGTGGAATAAAAAAGAAAAAAAGAGGGAGGAAAAAAAAAAAAAAGAGCCATGAATCTACCCTTCGATAAAGACTTCATCTCTTGATAGATTTCCAGGATTGGGAATCATTATTTCCCTGTTTCTTGAATTCATTTACCTTAATAACACCAGGCTCTCACTACGACAAGACTCACTTAAAAAGATGAAGCAAGCCTCAGCACGCGCAGGGCCTTGGTGAGGATTCCATGGAAACAAGGATGCTTGGAAAAAGAAAAGTCTAACGCTGTCAAGGCACCTGACAGTTGACATCCACGTGGCTACTCACCACTGCAATTCAGGAAAGAGTAGTACCCTCAGAGAGTTAGAAGTGAGCTGCTACAAGGGTACCCAAGTTCAGCCATCCAAGCAGGGCAGAGGGCCAAAAACGTGGCCATTACTTGTCAAGTTATCTCCTTATTCCCTTTCCAAAACATACATCAAGACCGTCTTGGGATCCTTACAATACAGTCGGCACAAGCTGAAACGTCCACTGCTTCTACTGCAAATAAAGCCAATGTAAAGCTCAACTAAAAGTATTCTGCAAATGTTATGGAGTAACAGGGTGGGTTTTCTTCCTTGTCTCAAAATATTTGCTTTGTACTTGTGGTACTTGTTCTAATATCATCACCTACTTGGGTTAACCACCCTCTCTTATTTTGAGGTCAGTGAGCAGCTATCTTAAATCTTAGATAAACTTCACACGTTAAACTCAACGGTAACTTTATTCCAATGCACATGGGAGTTGGGCAAAAAATACCTAGCAACCACCTCATTTTACATATTGAGATTATAAGCGGGACCACAGGACCCTTTTTTTTCTGGTCAACATTACCAACAGTAATTATGCTATGCCCACTTATTACATGCCACCTGTCAGATGAGAGTAGAACATCTTCAACGCTTTTATACAAAATAAAAACAGAAGAGAGAAAACAGCAGTAAAAAGCTTGTCAATCTTGCATATCTAGCTAGATGTTGATTAGCACAAACAGAAGAATTTGACATCATACTTAGCAAGTAATTTCCCTGTTTCTAATAATACTTAATGACAAAGTCATGTGAAGCCAACTTGTACATTTTCTTGGCCAGGTCCTGCACTTGGGTCGAGGCAATCCCAAGCAGAGGTACAGGCTGGGCAACGAGTAGATGGAGAGCAGTCCTGAGGACAAGGATTTGGGCATGTTGGTGGATGATAAAATCAACATGAGCCACGAGCGTGTGCTTGCAGCCCAGAAAGCCAACCGGGTCCTGGGCTGCATCAAGAGCTGTGTGACCAGCAGGGTGAGGGAGGAGATTCTGCCTCTCTGCTCTGCCCTTGTGAGACTCCTCCTCCAGGAACACCACATCCCATTCTGGAGCCCCCAACACAAGAAAGACATGGAGCTGTTGGAACGAGTCCAGAGGAGGGCCAGAAAGATCATAAGAGGGCTGGAACACCCTTCCTCCGAGGACAGGTTGAGAGTTGGGCTTGTTGAGCCTGGAAAAGAGAAGGCTCTGGAGAGATCTTCTAGTGGCCTGCCAGTGCCTGAAGGGGCCTACAAGAAGGCTGGGGAGGGACTTGTTACAAGGGCCTGTAGCGGCAGGACGACAGGTAATGGGTGGAAGCTGGAAGAGAGTAGGCTTAGACTAGGTTTAAGGAACAAGTTCTTGACCCTGAGGGTAGTGAACCACTGGCACAGGTTTCCCAGGAAGGCTGTGGATGCTCCATCCCTCAAAGTGTTCAAGGCCAGGTTGGATGGAGCCTTGAGCAACCTGATCGAGTGAGAGATGCCCCTGCCATGGCAGGGGGGTTGGGACAAGATGATCCTCAAGATCCCTTACAACCCAAATTATTCTATGGTACGATAGGATTCAAAAGCTCAGTGCCTAGCTAACAATGCAAACAGAAAAGCCAAAAGAATCTATAAGATTCTAGTAGGGAGATATATATATTCACCCGTTACATTAAAGGAACCATTCTAAGTAATAATCCCAGGTGCTCAATACAAACATTTCCCCTGCATTTACTCTGAAAACTAAGAGTTGGCTCTTACCTCGACAGTACTCCATGAGAATGAGCACCTCCCAAACGTTATCACTTAGAGAGTTCACAGCACAATCCAGATAGCTCACAATATTCTTGTGCCCAGATAACTCTTTCTGAGAAAGAAAACACAAACGGAACTTCAGCACAGACAAAAAGTTGACAAATAAAAACATAGTGCAAGTTACCAGACAACCGTTTAGGATTTCAAGTTAGCATCCGCCCCACACGCAGTACTCGAGACAGCACCACAAACACAGAGCAGCAGTCCATGGCTGCCAGCAGCAGCAGAACTGCTACTCAGCACACACAAAGCAGCTTCTGTTCACAAAACAATTACACGCTTCTTGCTGGACAGTACAAACATGTCCCAAGTGTTACTACCTAAAACAACACTGTTAAGTAGCCACAGCTACAGCCTTAAGATGCAGGAGGAAAATTAAGCTATGCATGCCCATCCTAAGCTCACAGTTATTAAAAAGGTTGGTGGAAAAAAGCCACAACTGTTGTAGTTTGAACTACTACAAAGTCTTACACAATGATTACGCACAAAACTATGGAAGGTGTCCTCAAGAAAAAAAAAACCACAACCACTTTCAAGAGCCACTTCACCTGCAGAATTAAGTAATGCTTAGTTCACCCTTGACTACACAGCGACGCTGTCATCTGTACTACAGAGTTTCTGCCTATATAGTAAGGTTAACATAGAAGTACCTCTTGGATAATTAAATAGGTGCGGCTATGATTAGTACACATGTAAGCTGTAAGCGTATGGAGACCGAGATAATTAATCTTCATCGTATCTGATGGAAGACAATGCAAGAGATATTCTCTTGCCCAGTCAGAGACTCTTTTTTTTTTTTTCTTCATTTTTGTTCTACCTGTGAAGTATTCATAAACCAAAGTAGGCCTGACTAAACCTTCTAGTCTCTCCTTATTTGCTACTTATCTGCAGAAAAACAACCAAAACTGATGATGTAGGGGAGTTGAGCTACACGTGCAGCAATTAGCTAGACACTGCAACTTCAAGAATGTGCTACTCACGATGACAGTATTTGTAGAAAGCACCAGCAGAATTCAGCTGACAGAGCTGCGGCACGCAGAGACCTTGATAATTAAAGTTAGTACTTCCAGAACCTGAAGCTATTATCCTTGCTTTGGAACTAGACGTACTGATCAAATTGACCAAGGCGTCAAATATGTTTTTCATAACTGCTTTACAAGTTAACCACGCACCAACTGTAAACTCAGCGCTAACTTCTGAAACTCATAGTGCAAAATCAGGACCATAACATCCAAAGAAAGGACGGTCTACAAGTGATTGTCACTGAAGAGGCATTTGGCATATGCATATTAAGAATAAATGCATTCTCCATTTACAAGTAATGGGCTTCTTACCATAATTGTAATTTCTCTCTTGCATATATTCAGGTCCAGCACACTATTAACACACATTCGTTTCAGTGCACAACGTATGCCACCATGGGTACGAACCAGAAAAACAGTTGAGAAGCCACCTGTAAAAAACGATTACAAACAAATTAAGCTACCTGAGTTTTTGCTGTTCCTCTAGTCAACATCAGTACTCACTAAGAAACAAATAAAACTACTCCGATAATCAGGCAGCCAAGCGAAACACACAAGTTATATGCTTCCTGGTATCACCTGCAAGGAGGATTTTTTAGATATAACCCATTTCATTTGATACAAGTCTCATGCACTTGATCAGACACGCACAGAATAGCGTACAGCTGAAGAAGCTACGCTTTATTTGGAAATTTTCTTGAAGATGAAATAGCGGTCACTTTTAACTTAATTGTTCGTTTAGGAAAGGGAGATGCTATGCTCTCAAATCACAACTACTGCTAATCTTAATAAACAGCCTAAATGCTCCAAAATTATTTTGCTTAACCTAGTTGACATAAGGCCTTCCCAAAACATGAACAGGACACTCGCTGCTCTCAAGTTACTCAGCTTCTAATGTCGAACTCCAGCTGAGCCTGAACGGGCCCAATAGCGCTCCCCTGACATCAGCCCAGGGAATTATGTTAAGAGGGATGTGAAGAGCTTGGTTAGTAGAAAGGTTTTTGGACTATCTCTCTCACTAACATAAAATTTTTTCTCTTTAAGCACCAACACTTAACCAAAACCACAGAGCTGTACTCACATAAAGCACAAAAATCTAACAATTGGAAGACAAAAATCACTTTTGTCCTTTTTAACCACTTTCATAGTCTTAAAACCCTATATGACGGCAGCATGACCAGAACAAAATGTCAAATTTCAAGCTTCCCTGACAATTGTTCTTACGCTACCAGAGCGGACAGGAGCGGGTAAAAACTATCAATAGAAAACAGTATGTGCAGGGAGGCGGGGAAGAATAAAAAGACCTAAATACTCGGACCTCTTCTTGCCATTAGGTGGCAATATTAACCAATACTTGAACCCTGACCAAGCCAGAACGGCAAACCCTTTCTTCATTTATCATCCTTGAATGGTTTTCCATTAATAAGTATCACCACTATAGAAATCCTTCCAACAAAGAATAAAGTGGCATAACTCTGAACTGGACTTGAATAAGTATACAAATCACTACATGAAAATTCATAGTCACCAATATTCTGGGAAACTTCACCCAGCAAAACCCTGAAGCACCGAACTTTAAACCTCTTAGCTCTTTTCTGATGTTCAGCTTCTCACTGAAAGCACCCAAGTAAGCAATCATTAGTGCTATAAACATTCACAAAAACTCGTATGAAACACTGCTATTGGGGAAGAGAGGTAAGTACATACATGGCTTATACATAAAATACCTTGCCCAGAGACTCCAACTGCAAGTTGAACAAAACCACACTTCCCATATCCATCAGCACAGGAGCTGCAACATCACCAACATTTTCAGAAGCTGAAAAAATTTTCTATTATCTCGTATCAGTGAAGAGAGAAAATAGACTCAGTTTTCCATAGTACAAAGCATCAGAGAAAGCTTAACCCAAAACTATCGTAAGCTACAGCACCACATAAAAAGATGACAAAATTCACAGCACTTCAAAAATTTACATTTGGTCACTGAGCCCTTGCTGCCATAACCTAGCAAAACGCCTACATGCTCCGGTCGTCAACAGGTTTGGCAATATGACTGTACTAACCTGGAAAAATTTCACAGGCCTCAAGGTTTTATTTAGGTTTTACCACATTACATTCCTGAAACTTCAACCAGGAAACAGTGTAACTGTCTGAATGTCAACTAGCTTATTGGCTGATTCGGGTAGAACACAGGAAGGCTGCAGAATCTTCCAGTACCTTTGCCATCTTTCAGACTGCTGACAACCGTTTTGTTAAGACTACAAGACTATCAACCAAGCTCTCCTGAGCAATGTTATGTGCATTTTAAGCACACAGGCAATAAGATTTTAATATACAATTAAAACATAAACACCAAATGCTCCTGCCACTGGGGAGCTATGACTACATACTCAAAGCTCAGACCAAGAGATCTTCGTAAGCAGAAGGATTTTATCCATATAGTAACCATACCTATAAAACTGAACCAGGCACCACAGCTGCTAGACTCACGCTCACACAACTAGCAAGGTGTTCAGATGCTGTACTGTACAGGAAAACTGGATGTAATTTCAGAAATAAGTAATGAAAGAAGAAACAAATGTCAAAATCAGCAGAGCTTAGTTGTTCTGATGTACCTACACAACCTGGACAGCTAAATACCTATTAACTTGCTCAACAATTAGATACAATCTTGAGTAAAAATAATAATAAAAAGACAGGTTTCAAAAACCTTTAACCCTTAGAGCTGTGAGCTTTAAGAGGGGCCATAAGGCCCACATGACTGCCTCCGTTACAGCACAATTCCATAACTGCTTTACAGCCATCATGTAAAGTTGTTCTTAATAAAACTCAATAACCTGAAGGATAGTTTATTTCTAATTTGCAGCCAGTTTGCAAGTTTAGCTCTCAAATAGGACCCTGGCCAGTAAGTCAGCCTTGTGACCCTCTCTCCACAAAGCTGTAACCCATTTACCCACACGTATCTTGGTAACTTGATCTTTTCCCTGGGCAATAACCTGGCTACCCCTCCACATGATGATATCGTTTAAAATACCAGATCTGGCTTTTCTTCACCTCAGATCATCTACCACACAACACTAATTTAGGTGTACTCATGCATGTTCTAAATGAACTTCTGTCTGTAGCAACACTCTGACTGCTATCTTGCTCCACAACACATGACGCCTGGACCACTTAGCACATGTCTGCCCTCTGTTCATCCTAGAGCCAAAAGCCACCCGTGTGTCTCCACTACCTTCCAAAAATCAAGCTGACCTGCAGCCAGAAACTCCCTCTCCTTAAATGTTTCAATATGCTCTCTGCAGGAAGTAAGAAACAACTCCAACCTTTAGAGCTTTAAGAGCTACTGAGACACCAAAGAAGCCAGTGTCCAAAAGAAAAATCAGGAAAGAAGCAGTCCTCCTCCACAAGAAAAGCATAATAACAGCACATAAGAAGCAGCTCTTACTATCCCCATACAGGTCCATCCAGACCGCTGGGAGAGGTCCTTTTTCAGTGAGTGCTAAGCACCCATCTATGTGCTATTTTTCCAGGAATTCTGCATAAACTCCAGCCTGCCACAGTTGGAGCTGAACGAACCCACGTGAAGAGCTATTTCCTGGAGCTCAGTTTTGATCACACCTTCGCACAGTACATAACACAGAGCTTTCTCAGAGCTCACCTAAGACTTCCGTGATCCTGACACACTGCTATTGTGCCCCCTCTTCTATCCCGCTGCTCAACCCCTCCTCTCATGGCGGCCTGCTACAAACCCCCTAACCCCCTATTCTCAAGGGCAACCTATCAGGATAGTTACAGGGCGCTTTTTCAAATTATCAGAAACTCCCTTCTTCCCACAACAGTGGTAGCCCTTCTACCCCAGAGGCACTACGTTCTGTCCAGCAGTACAAGTGCTGTAATACAGGCATGTTTATGGGACCGATCAACAATTTACGTCAAAAACTCCACAGTGTACAGAAGCCACTGACCACAACCCCGCCTCTCCATTCCTCAAGCACCTCCGTACGACAAGGTGGCAGGGCATGCCATTAACAAAGGCATCTGTCTGCCAGCAATGCGACAAGAATTCCTGCAGCAGCTGCTGTATACCTCACGTCGTATGCTAGGCTTCCAGAGCGTGGGGTCAAGGTCATCCACTTTTCACCATCCCAGTACTCTGCCACCATTTTATTCACTCCTCCACTGCTGCCTCGTCGCACCAGTCACTGCCAGCCCCGAGCTCGCACCAGCTGGAAAGCACCGTGAAATGCCCGTCCTGATGAATAAAGGCAGCATTAAATGACACCAACCATGTATGTGCACGTTTACATTTTTATATGCTTACATATAAGCCCTTGTGTGGGTATATTTTCAGTAAAGCATACTCCCCATGTCTCAGTCATGAACACAAGGCCCTGAGACACAGCTCCAGCCAGAAAAGCAGTTGACAGATGCTGCCTGTGAGCTCAGGGGCTCAGCATTCCCACAACCAAGAGCAGAAATAGCTCCCGATTTGTCAAATAATCCATTTCTACACACATTCGTTTTGGAGTTCCATATTTTTCCGCTTTATTGTAAAGCGTGCAGCCGACACATTCCAAGGGACATACCACGCTGTTCCTTCTCCCACTGCCCACACAAATTCCCACCGTGTAACAATGCGAGTATCAGGGCTAGTTTAGACAAGAGGCACTGCTTTCTGCAAACCAGCATCTGCTCTTCAGGCAGCGCTGGGAAAACAGCAGCTGTGAACCGCATACCAACGGGACTTCACAGTACAGCCCATGAAAAGCAGGGCTGCAGCGCATTCCTCTCTGCCAACTGGGAGCCCTGCTGGCGAGCAGGCACTCTCACACTTGATTTCCTGTAGCACCAACGCAGTCCAGCTTTCCATCAAGCTTTGACAAAAGCACCAGAGACTAGCTGGCACATTCAAGATGCTTCAAGTTACTAACATGCTATGGAAAGACAATTAAGGTCTGCTACAGATTCTTGTGAAAAGTTTGCTTATTTAATAACACCTATGCACCAGACGTGCCCAGGGGCCCAAATGAGGAAAAAAAAGTATTCATCTGGCCTTGTTGTCGGGAAAGAGAGAAGCAGGTGTGTTGCGAAGGAGAGCATACAAATGTCAGATGTGCAAGTCACTTTACTAGCCATTCAAAAATAATTAGATCAACTAACACAGTGTGCAATCATAACCAAAACCCACGGACACCAGTGATACAAACAGGTACCCGTACTTTCATCATGAAGCCACAAGTAAAGCTTTAACCCCAGCTAAGATCACGTACTTCCACTTGTCAACTATCATATAATCACAGAACGGCCCAGGCTGGAAGGGACCTTAGAGATCATTTAATCCAGCCTCCCTGTCGCCAGGGTCACCACCTCTCGACAAGATCAGGCAACGCATGGGGACGGAATGGGAATCGAACCCGCAA